TATAATTGTTTTTGTGTATGAATAAGGAATGATGAAAATGGTGGCAATTAGAAAATATTTAGAGTTGGATACTTCTGAATGTAATAACATAGAGATAACCAACACCAAGAGTGGAAGTTGAAAACATGATTTTATTTTACCATGTTTTGATTCTACAGGTTTTGCCGACATGAACTTTCTTTTAACCTTAACGTTTGGTAGTTCAGCCGTAAACAGAACAAAGAAAAATAATCTATGCAACTATGTTTCTTTAAAGATTATTTTTTCTGGTTTACTTAGCTGACATATTGCAGAGACCATGCAGAATCTCTGTTTTGAGAGCATTGATTAGATATTACATCTGTATAAAAATGATTTTAGAACATTGACACAGATTACCTTTAAATTATTTTAGGATGAAAAGGCTTATTTCTGTGGCAGTATTTTAGTGCATTATTTGCAGTGTGAATACTGAATGAATAATTAAATTGCCAAATTGGATTAACATTAAAAGGACATATTCGAATGTGTATGGAAACGAATGCTGCTAATGAGAAGTATTCGCTATTGCATATTCATAAGTGACAGTAAAAGTCATTTTAAGAGTTCTGTGACCTGAAAAAATGTATACTATATACTTCATCAGAAAATTATTGTTGCTGTAAAATTCGAATACTATAGTCAAAATCCATTATTCAATAATTAAACAGAAATATGTCATATAAAAATGTATTTTTTATTTGATATCCCTTGACAGTATTATATATATATTTTGTTTCCTGAAAATTTTCTGTATATAGTGACATGTCTAAATTGTTAAGACTTCAGTGGAGTTGAATGAATGAACGAATAGAAGAATGCGTTCTTGTGTAGGTATATCAAAGGGTGAATTAATTATTAGGGCTATCATTAGCTAATGGCCAGACAAATATTTTATATTTTATATTTTGTCTAATGCTTCCATGTAATGGTAGGTCAAGGGATCCATATATGAATTTAGTACTCATATGCTTTCATGAATTAAGCTTTATGCGCATGCATAATAGTTCATACTTAATATGTATTTTAGAAAAAAAAAGCTTTATATTTTAACAGTGATAAAGACTTAAAAAAAGTGTTGACTAAATATGGTTATGCCGTGAACGGTTTCAAACAAATAATTTTCCTCATTTTGTATGTAAACACTTTATACTCTAATATAATAATGACGATACAACATCATACTACAGTTCGTTATGTTATCACTCACACATCCGGACTGGACAGTTGGTTTGTTGGTTGTTTTCAAATGTCGGTAGAGTTCATCTCATCTGAAGTATTGTATGTAGTTATTTCATAAATTTCTCTATAAACGAAAACAGATAAACAGAATATTGTAAACAAGTAAAACGTATTTTCATTTGAACTTTGGTTTCTTGGCTCTGCGTGTGAAACGAACCCAACAATCGATGAGATGCAGTTATCCGTATTATATTTGGCAACATCCGAGCAAAAGATGTTGAGGACAACAAAGATGACGCAAAATGTTTCCGATGACCTCGCTGTTACTCTCAACCGGTCAGAATACCCACAATGTTTTTTTCTATTTATCCATTGCCGCAACTAACAACTCCGCGAATATAAGAAACAAAGAGGATCACATTTAGCACGAAAGCAATGGCGACAATTAAAAAAAAAGTTAATGACTGCTTCGGCTGTGGATTTACAGAATTGTGCCACAGCGGATCTCTGGAGAATTCCGCTAGATATCACTTGAAATCTGTGATTGTTGGTATTTCCACTATTTTTTGTTTGTTTATTGCTATATGGTTTTGACATCTAATCTGAAAGAGAAAGAAAGTCTGTTGGTTATAACATTTGATTTTATATTCTGAATATGCACTGGTTCAATATTTATTGTACCATTTCACCTGTTTATATCATAAATGCTGCATTTAATAACAGTCTCACTCAATTTGTGGGAAAATCAGGTAACTGACCATTTCCTGAAAAGCTCGTAAGTTAACTTCTTTTAATTCGAAAGCATGGAGCAGACGAGTACATAGATAGGTGTCAAATTTTGCTTGTGAATGTGTAAACATATTTGTGGATTTAGAAAGACACTAGTCATTCCAGACACGTTAAAATATATGTCCATTGTTCTATTTCCTGATAAATTAGTTCAACATGTTAGCGTTTCTCTTGAAAATGCAGTAATGCATTGACCCTTTAAACTTTATAGCTATTGAAAGTGGACTTATATGAAGCACTCTTGTTTTAGGCAAGCGATGGGTGTCACAGATTACAGAACCACTCGGTTGTCATATTCCAAGTGAACCAATTACAAACCAAAAATCTAATTTATGAAAAAGAAATGCATCAAAATTTGTGATAAAAAAACGCGCACGGACGCGCGCTCGCACACACACACACACGCACACACACACACACACACACACACACACACACACACACACACACACACACACACACACACACACACACACACACACACACACACACACACACACACACACACACACACACACACACACACGCTCTCTTGATGGGTATAGTAACAATAGTAAGTAGACATTCACAATCAGTATTACATTATAACGTATTTTTCTCATGCAGAAATACAGAGCAGCTTTATAATGCAGTAGGTGCTTAAAATAAGACCCGAGTTTTGTAGTTGTCTGTTCAATGAAAGAGTTATTTTTGAAAGTTAAATCAGTTTCAAAAGTCCAACAGGGAGATGATAGGTAATGTAGAGTGAATATCAAAATAGATAGGTGCGAAATGACGTCACTGAATGACTGGAAGATGAAAAGGAAAGAGAGGAAGCCATCCGGCGACACCCAGAGCCACTTGCTTAACCAGGGCCAACCTCTAGGTTTTGTTCTAACTTTGAACGAGCCAGGAATGGATGAGGCGAAGTGGATGCACCAATTCAATTAGCCATACGACCTGATACCACGAAAGAACCAGATAGTGACCGGAAATGCAAATCCGAGGTCATTCCATCGCAGGACAATCTCACAAAAGGTGAAGATAAAAAAGTGACGGATACAGCATCAGAGGATAGATGAGATGGGCCCCTACGTGCTTTCGCTAGATATCTATTACACGGAGAAGCCTCAAGTGGAGAAAGGAGCCTATTCTCCCCTTTCACCAGCTGCGACTACTGAAAATGGCTTGAAGGTCCTATAGTCATTACTGTAAAGTACATGTATTTTTTCCATCTTAATTATACACCAAATACTCCAAAATAATGACATTTGATATGGCAATACAATGATACAATGTGCATATGTTACAAGTAATATTAATATAGATGGTATGAATAAAGATAACATTATATGAATACAGTAACAATTGTAACGATTGATTTTTTTACAAGGTCAGCAACATTACTATTAATAATCAAAATAATACTCAGGGGCGTCACCAGAATAAAATGAATGGGGAGGCACTTCTGAATACAGGTGAATACACTTTCTCCTGCTTACGCCACCGCAGATGAGCGAGTGGGGGCATCACTAGTATTATCAGTAATACTAGTGATAATCATGGTCATAAAGAACTAAGTTATCTGTAAATATAAGAACTAAGTTATCTGTAAATATAAGAACTAAGTTATCTGTAAATATAAGAACTAAGTTATCTGTAAATATGAAAAGGCGACACATGTATATCATTTACCGAATTATTGCCTTGTTTGGAAAGAGTAGAGAGTTTCTTGTATAAGCAAAGATTTTTTTAAAGCAAGTTTCATCCCTTTCTTGAGGTCTGGTTACTCGGGTTGCAACAAAGCCAGAGAGCCGGAACTGAAAGCCGATTATAAATCAATTTGCAGTAGTTTTTTCCTTTTATATATTAACTAAATGACATAGAAATTAAATGGATGTATGGCTCTTCCACTATAAGAGCTTGATATATTAGCTGGTCATCAAAAGGAAACTTTATGTAGAGATTTGTAAATTTTCATGCATACAATTTTTTTTTGTTCTTTTGTTAAAATCCATTACTTGTCATGGGAATTTTAGTCATATAAAGAATAAAGAAAAGCACATCAGTTATATATCACTTTCAATCAATATATCTTTATCTGTTTTTGTTCTTAAGTTAGGAGCCCGGTTTGTATCTGGGCAAAAAAGGAATAGGAACAGAGTATGGTAGAAGTCTTAAATAAACATATATAAGATAAAAACAAAGCTAATGGAAAGGTATGGAGACCGACCACGTATATTCGGTTGTTTCATTTTAGGTCTTCTGGATAGATATGTAACAACTGTACTGCTAATGTAATCGGTCGAGAATTGTCTATTTCTATGATGCTATTGTGACTACATAGCCAAAAGTGCTTGTTCGTTAAATGAAAAAATGAGTTTATCACTATGGATTCTTTATTTTCTTTTGTACTTGTATTTTACTGAAATGCATTTTACTGTGCGCCTTGAAATATTAGTATAAACTGTGAATGGGTTAGAAACAAACGTTTGACATTTTGAGTATAGATCGATTATTATAACAAAAAAAATTTATTCTATTTTATTTCAAACAACTGTTAACGTTACTCAACTGAAAATGAACGAGTAAGCAAAGGTGAAGTACGTGTACAGTGGACTGAAATTTGTAAATTGAGGAAAGACGGGAAAAGAGGAAAAGAGGAAAGAATGGCAGATATAATGCAAACAACTGAAGGCACTGTAAAAAAAGTAAAAACCTTGATGTTCTTGTTAGCCAAAAAAGGGAAAAAGAAGAAAAAAATGGTTTGGTATCAATGTTGCTCTAACTTTTCGCATAAATTGTAAACCATGGATGGTTATGCCATTCAGTTCAAATCATGCTTGGACGAAAATAGTTTAGTAATTTTGAAACTTCAAATACTAAATCAACAATAACATTGATAGGAAACATCGCCCCATGACATTTATTGCAAATGAGACAAATTGGCGCTGAATGCAAATGGAGTTTTTATTCTTTCCTAGTTACAATTAAGGAAAACTAACTGGGTGGGTGATATATAGTTTTCGAAG